TTGATATTTTAGGTTATTGATATTGCCTTCCACCCTGCAAATGTCTCGCACACCCCCATACTGGATGTAACCCCAGACCATGATTTTTCCGCCACCAAACTTAACTGTTTTCTGGGTGAATCTTGGATCCATGTGGGCTCCAGTAGGTCTCCTGCAATATTTGCGGCGGTTGTGATGTATTTCAACCGAGGATCCATCTGAGAAATCCACCTTCTGCCACTTTTCCAGTGTCCATCCTTTTAGCAGGCTGTGGGCCTTGGCAAATGCCACACGGTTTTTTAATTGCCTTTTGTTTAGTGCTGGTTTCTGGTGCACTGATTTGACCATGGAGGCCATTTCGAGACAGAATTCTACAAACTGTTCTGGTTGACACAGGGACTTGAGGTGACCAGGCCTGGTGGAGCTCTGCTGCAGTGGAAAAGGGGCTGGCCTTGGATTTTTCGAATCAACAAACGGTCCTCCTGAGCAGTTGTCTTGCGGGGTCTGCCCGACCTGGGCTTGTCAAAAACATCTCCAGTCATTTCAGATCTTTTTCTTATTCTTTGTACTTGACGCTGAGACACATTGAAGGTGTCAGCCACCTCAGCAGTGGATCTGGTCTTCAGCCTCTTGATAATTAACGCTTTGGTCTCAGGGTGGATCTTAGGCATGTTGTCAGAGGTCAAGTTGCAGTTGATGTGAAGGTCTGGTGTGCTGGGGTTCTTTTTATACACATCCACTAATTGATTGATCAGTAACTGATCACAGGTGAGGCTGTAATCTAGGATTGAGTGCATCATATGACAAGGCGACAAGACTTTTGTCTTGCCAAAATCTGACCTTTCTGTGTTCATTAAATGATCAATCTTTCTTCAGTGAAGCAAATTTATTTTAGTATATTGAGCATAATTTGGGAGGGTTTTAGCTTTCATATGAGACATTTCTAAAACCAATCGATTAATTTAAAGTCAAGTTATAAGCTTTTGTTTCTACAAAATGGATAAGTGACAAGACTTTTGTCAGGGACTGTATTGCCATAGTTAGTTACATTCATCTATGCCTATTCCAGTTGCTTCATTACCCAGATTTCCCCTGTCTCACCTCCGCCCTCGATCTCAAAGTCATCGGGCAGCAGCTTGTCTTGTCGATTGCCCAGAGTGAAGGAGAGAAAGGCGAGCAGCACAGCATCCAGGATGCAGATGATGGCCAGGATGTAGGCCCAACGCACTGTGCAGTTCCCCAGAGTGTACTTGTCTGTCCTCTGACCGCACATGCGCTTCACCTCCTCTGAGTCCCAGCCATCGGGGTAGATCATGCACCCCATCACCATCAACACAGCTGTGGGACAGGGGCACAAGGTGTTTATGTTTGCATGGATAGTAAAAATCTGATTTCTAGAATAATTAGATAAGTAGCATAATTAGATAACCCAAAAATTAAATCTGATTATTAGTGTGTGTTCATACCTTGAAATCAGATTATTAAAAACCCTAGGTAATATGTGTATGGTAATCAATTGAAAATGGACCTACACTAGACCAGGACTCTTAGGGCTCAAATTAGGCTTAAACCAGGACCAAACAAAGACACAACAAAGTGTGATCATACCTTAAAATAGTTGGCAAATTTCTCTTTTATTTTTGGCTTTGTCGTGGTAGCTTGCCCTACTTTATATAATGTACCATGTTAAAACCAGTATAGGTGTGATCAAAAATCAGATTACCCTACCCATATCTGAATAACTGCTTACATGATATTGCAATAATCTGATAACTCCAGAAGTCAGCTAAAGATAAGACTTTGGTGTGTATGTAAAGGTAGCCAGTGCTGTCTCCAGGCGGTTGGTTTGAGCTATAATTATGAGTAAGAATCATCATGGTCCCATGAGTGGAGTTTGAACCTGTGAGTGCTGCAATAAAGAGAGTTCTTTGTTATAGTAATGTAGGCTCAGGGGTGTAGTATGCAAGATGTACTGTTTTAAATAGACTTTATGGTCAAATAAGGTGTAATGAGTTCAATAAAGAGTAGGCTGAATACATAATTAAATTGGGCCACATCATATGAGCTTAACCATTGACCTGCTTTGCACAAATATAAGGAGTTGATGGCCTGGATACTGTATTAAAATATAAGTGACCCCTAATTGACCACTGTAACATAACTGATCTTATGGGTAAATATTTCTGAGATGAGAAGGGAGCACTCATATTAATGTAACATCACGTAACTTTCTGGAGGTGGCTGAGGAAGAATCACATCTGTGAATAGTTGTGTAGTAAAGTTGTCCAGACTCCCAGCTAGCTCTGAAAAGCTACAGACTTCTTACACCAATGCAACAGGCTTTCTATGGAGTGAGAGAGAGGCCGAGAGGAGGCTTTTCTATTGTGTCTCCAGAGTTCACTTGGCTCACCTGACTCTTCAGGGACACAGAGGAGGGACACTTTTGTCCTGAGGGCTGTTACTGATGACCCTACCTGTCGAGCTGCACTGAGAAGTTTGTTTAAACATTATGTTGTATATTACTGCTTAATGTACTTAAATTGCCCAAATAATGTGAGATTGACTGCTTGATTGATCAGCTTGGAGTCATAGGCAACATTTTATGTTCAAAAGATATATTTTGTTTTTAATTGTTAATTGCTATGGCAAACGTCCTAAATTTCTCATCCTGGATTTAAGAAGGCTATTAAAAATACACAATGTCCAGGAATTGGAAAAGGCAATGAAAGGGCGTCTTGGTTGTGCTAACAAAGCTGTCACACCTGATCTTGTTTCCTGTCACTTTATCCAGAGTCTGAGGTGTTGAAGGTTGGACTGAAACCAGATCTTATTGGCTCCAATGGCGCATAACAACAAGCCCAAACTCATAGTATCGAACTAAACCAAAGAGGTGACATGATGCCTCGGGCTGGACAACTGCAGCACCTCACACAGCAAAACACCTGGGCTTCCTTACCTGCCTGTTACCATGGAAACACACTTCGAAATACCTAGTGTAACTTTTCAGTAACCTACTTTCAGTTTGGTGCAGTAGCTTGGGAAGAGTCCTGCTGAGTGACAAAGTAGTGCAAAATGGTTATTAAAATGTGAATCCTGCACTTAATTATCTTGGTAGAGAAAGACTTATCTTTTATTATCCTATTATCAGATGCCCAAGGGTACTCCTTTGTGCCCTTGAAAAACTAAATCAATTTGAAAAAATGTGCACCAGCAAGGACAATTAAGCTACTCTGAATACTCACAGGCCTGTTACTGTGACTATACTTCAAAAAGGGGTGACCTCTGGTATGTTCACCACCATCATCACTACTTTGGGCATCACTGCTACTGCTGTGTTTCTACTAAACTGCAATGTTTTGGTGAACAAAATTGATACTTTTTTCAAATGTTTCGATGCGTGTTACTTTTGTTACTTTTTGCTATGACCTACCAGCAGCCAGTTGCATCCATGCGCAGATCTTGTACACATTCCCCGCGTTAAGGAAGAAGAAGAGACTGAAGCCCACCATGGTACCCACCACAAGCAGCATGGAGGAACCCACAAAGAACATGGCGGTCCTGAAGGCCGGGGATGGGATGGAGGCGAAGTCCAGTA